ACTATAAATATAGACTTTCACTTTATCACAAATTACGTTCCTGGGGAAAAATTTATAAATATAATGTGTCCATTTAACATAAAGTTAATAAGTTGAATTTTCTAAAAAAAGAAAAAAAGAAAAACAAGAGCAGGTAAATGATGTAAGTCACTTTTGAAGTGAAAGAAATGAAACATACTTTCTATACTGAATGGACAATTATCAGTGGAATAACAACAAAGGGACCAGATGGGAAGGCTATGAGCACTCAGTGTCACTGTCTCCTCCAAAACCAACCCAAGCATGTTTGCTAGGAATAGGCAGCAAGAGTTCTTCTCTAATTGTATTGCATTCTTTGAGTCCTTTTCCCTACAGAGAAATTCTAGAGAGTCCACAGACAGTAGTAACTTTCCCTGTTGCTGATTGTCTCAATTATGAACCATACGTATATTAAGTTATTGGTATCCCCAAATAACAAGGAATAACTACTCACTTTTCTTATACTCGAGTTTGGTTTAGTGTAAAGAGCTATGTAAGTGAGTATGCAAATCCATAACCAATGCAGTGAAATTCATGTAAAGAACTTAAATCTTGAGATTCGAATAGCTTTTTCCAAGTTCCTTTACTGCTACCAACTAGTTTGCCAGCTGAGTTTGAGTCACTAAATCATGCTTTTCTTGATGGAAACTGGAGGTCACAAACAACAGAAAGAGAGGTAAAGCTGAGTTCTAGGTAATGTTAACATTAGCCCTATAAAATCAGTATTAACTGAAAAAGTGAATGGTGCAAATAAAACAGAAAGACAAATGACCCGCTCGCTTGCAGAAATGTATTATTATTAGCCAACCGCTCTTTGCTGACAGAGTTATCACACACCTCATATTTTTCAAGGACCAAGAAGGGATTTTAAGTTAGTGTGAGGGTCAGGATGCTTCCTAGGGTACAAGTGCTCTCTCAGGGTGAATCGACTTCAGGCCAAACAGGTCTTCCCACACAAAAGCAACTCTCATGTGAGTTTGTGTAGGTTTGGTAGCATGAAGCCGCACTGTTGATACTCCATGCATTGGAAGTCATGAACCTGTTCCGGGCTGACTATACAACTGACATGATAAATCAGCAGGAGAAACTCTCCAAGAGTAACATTTGAAAAAAATAGGTCTGATGAAAAACTTGAGCAGTAGTATAGATGGTAAATCACAAGAATGGAAGATTCAAAGGAACAGACCCCTCTGCCTTTTTGTCTGCTGTCATATGTCTTTTACCAAGAATGGTATCTAGTGCATGGTACAGGAGAAGGAATTCAAAGGACATTTGAAGTTTAAAAACTGAATGTTAAAATGATGACAAATTTAAGGGCTTAAAAAATAGTCATTGGTTCAAACAAAACTATGGGCAAACTTGTATAAACATTATTTGGAACTTTGATTGTACAATACTTTTAAAAATGATGCTTTGGCAAATATGGTTCATATGAAATAGATTTATATCTCTCCTAAGGAAATGAAGGTGCTTAAATGATTATGCTGTAACTGTAAATTTCAATGCTATTTCCATACATTTTCACAGTATCTGTCTTTAAATGGAAGACTTAGTTATGCAATATGTTACATAATATATTTACTTAGTGGGTTGTTTGTAAATTATATAAATCAATATCTCTGACTCTCTTTTCTGAAATAGGAATGATAGACACCAATACTGAGTGTTCAAGTGTGAGGAGATTTAATATCAGAAGTCTTACATGAACATGTTATATCAACTTTCATGTCCCGATTTGGGAAGAAAATGTCACTAATAAGAATTAACAGTAAAATATTAACCATAGCAGTAAGGTGACTAATGTATCCAGATACTCCTCAAAGCTATTTCATATTCTATGTCCTGTTTTGTTTCTATTAATTTTTACAAATGATTAGTCTAAAGCTCACAATAATTTTAATTTGATTTCTCAGATACAAAAACAAAGGGCTGCTGAGAGCAACTCACCTTGACTGAAACACACACCTAGCAACATGGAGATGGAACCCAAGTTTATACTTCTTCTGCCAAATTAGGTATCAGAAAGCCTCGATGTTCACCACTTCATCCTTAACGCTGCTTTTACCACCATCTCTATGACTATGTATGTTGAGATGAGGCACAAAATGTACATTAAACATATATAATAGTATTCTGTAATTATAAAGATGACACATCTGTTTTAGAAGCTGCAAGTCTACACAGAGGATTTTCTTTTTTCCCACTGGTGGAAGTGGGCCACTACCTACTAATTCCACTCTACTAGTAATGCATTGGCTGATCATTCAGGGAAAGGGTAAAGTTCTCAGAACAACTAGATGGGTGTGATAATTAGCTGACTGTTGACATACGCTGGTGTCTACAGAGAGGGAGGAATGACCCCAGATCCCCCGCAGAATTCCCAGCAGCTGGCTCTATTTCTTCTCTGTGCAAACTGTTTAGGTTCTTCCCCAGTGCAGTATAAATACGTAGGGTACTGCTACACCACAGGACCCATTTAGGTTGGATAGACTCCCTTTACTGTTGCATAGAACTGCAACCATAAATTGCATTCTAATATAAATGCCCAAAATATTTATGCATACATAAGTTCTCAATCACTTTTCTAATATTTAGTAACATGAGTTCTTTCTTATATTTCATAGCTTTCCTCAATAACTTAAGTTTAAACAGACATTCTAGCAAGAGAAATGGACTGGCAACCAATTCATCCAAGCATCTGAATGTCATATAAGAACACTATTAAATGCCTGGTGTTTGCGCTATACTTTGTTTAGGGTATTTCATGTTACTTAAAAATTATATGAGTTAATAATCAAAGGTCTCTTCTAGTTGGTTGGTTGAGTGGTTGGTGATTTGTTGAAAACTGAAAGCTGAGATGAGAAAGAATACAAGTTAATCATTCATACACACGCACACACCCACACCTGTCCCCCACACACATATACACAACATGCAAGTGAAGTTCCCAACTCTGCGGATATTTTGTATTTCAAGCTGGACTTTACTGACACTCAAAACTAACTGTAGGAGGAAGATTTCTTCTGAACTGAAGCTGCTTTTCCTGGTGTGAAATTATCCATTTAAAAATATGTGCCAGTCCATTGGTATGTATGGGCTGGCTGTACCCATGACAAACACAGGTCACACACAGCCAAAAGAGTGAGACCCTTGCAGTGCATATAAAGAACACTAGGACATGCAATTTCACTTTATCCGTTGCAGCTCTCATTTAGAAAAAAAATCTCATTATCTTGTGACATATATTTTAAAGTCAGTGAATCAATATTGGCTTTTTTTTTTACTTTAAAAACTGACTAAACTTTTAAATGGCTGACTGTGATTGTTTGAATTTGGATAAATACTCAAATCTGTGAACAAATATGTCTAAAATTATCCTTTTCTGCTTAGATTTAGATTTGAAGGATGCAGGCAAGAAAATTCTACCTAAGCTTGTTGTACAAAGAAGTGGGATATCCCTATTTCTAAGGTCTTTAAACTTACCTCTTTCAAAGTGGATGATACACAGGTAAAACACCAATTAAGTTAATAAACATTGGAAATTCAAACATATCCTCATTACTTATTTTGTGTTGTTAAAAAATATATCTTAAAGTATCCACATATGCTTGATTCCATTCAAACAACAGGATATTAAGAATAAAACACACCTTGGGCAAAGAATTGTTTAGTTATAAGCAGTAATGAATCATGTTAAAAGCAATTACTTAGGAATGCTCCTCATAGAGCTTAAGCTACCTAATAAGTGTACAATATCACATCATTATTCACAGTCCAGAAAATATACAACTGTAGTAAAAGTACAGTAATGAAACTTGGGGATCTTTTCTTTCCATGAGAATCAGACCCCACTTGCATAGAAAAAGAAAGGGCAGTTTAAAGCAGTCAACTACAATTTCTTGGTACATGGATGTGTTCTGTGACAAAGCAACGGTAGGTTATAAATTTTTGTGAAGTAAGATTAGACTAGTACAGGAGCTGGGCGGTGTGTGTTGCTCAGCGTGTCAGGGACTGAGTAGCCAGCCCGTGCCCTGTCTTTCCTAGAAAGGGTGTGAGTTGGAAGTCCTCTGAGTTCAGGGCTCCAGTACATCTGAGGCAGAAAAGTGGAGACAACTGCCTACTGTCACCACCTCACCTGTCGCTGACTCTCTCTGTGACTGTGTCTAAGAAGCTGGGTTGGCCAGAGAAAAAAGAAGGAGGAAACATTGAGATTTAAAATTAAAAACCAAATAGAAGCTGGATTTAGTTTGCAAAGTAAGGGGAAGTGGTGTGTTAACCTCCAAAGCTCAGAACTGCTAAATGCCTCCACAGACCGAATTCGGTGGAGGGTGTCATGCGTGTAGGTGCATGGACATCAGTCACGGTGAGAGGCGGGCAGGCAGGGCAGAATGAGGCCCAAGAGAGAAACCTGAGCGGTATCTGATTCTTCTCCCCACTGCTAGAGCCTTCAGCCAGAAGTCAGACTCGGACTCTGCCCACTCCGGACTTCGTAGACTCCACGTCGAAGAATCAAACTTAGAGATGAAAACTTGGAGCGCTGAGCTAGCAGGCTCTGGGATGTTCCCACGTCCCTAGTGATCTTAGTGTTCTACTTTTAAGATCCCCAAATACCTGCATCCCGGATACCCAGAGGCCAGGCTGCTGGGGGCCGGGCTGTGACTCTGGAGGGCTGGACGGGCAGTCAGGCAGCTGGGTGATCTCACCCGGCGCCCAACTCCGGCGGCTGCAGCGGCCAGACCTGGAGCCCAGTCGGGTGCCAGCCCAGGAGAGCCTGGATCCTTACGCTGTCTCCTTCCCTCTTGGAGCCAGGGTTGAAAAACCCGCCAACCCTACTTCCCGGGAAGCCCGAGACGCCGGGAGGGAAGCAATGACGCGGGTCCCCTCTCCGTGCCGCCTTCGGTGCGCACTGACCTCCACCCCCGGCCGCGGGAGCGACCGTGTCCCCAGCCCGCAGCCACAGCGCGTTTCCGGAGCTCACTCACCGATCCGGAGCACTTGCGGGGCCGTCTGGGGGAGGAAGTGGACGAGGAAACAGAGGAAGGTCCAGCTGATGTCCCTGGTCCCGAGCCCGGGCTGGGCGAGGAGTGTGCCGCGCCGCATCTTCTTAGCTTCTTAATTCATGTCCGTGAGATGAGATGCTCCCCACTCAGGCCCGCTCCCCGCCTCATCCTTGGATGCTCCGGGTCTGCACCCCAAGCAGCAGAGGAGCGAGGTGGAGCGAAGCGGCGGGGACGGAGCCGGCTAGCGAGGCTGGGCTGCTGGGGCTCCGCGCTCCGCTCCTAGCCCATCACTGCCCCTCCTCAGCCTCCTCCATGGGCCGCAGACCGCGGACGCTCAGTGCGCTCCGGCCCCGGAGCCCGGCGACCCGCTGAGGAAAGTTGCAGCCTGGATATGCAGGAACGTCTCGCTCATTCGTTCTCTGGTCAGATGCAAAAGTGGGGCGTGGGGGTGGAAGGTGCAGACAGACAGAGAGGAGGGGGAGACAAGGAGAACCGAGAAGGCGAGAGGGGACTGGCTGAGTTGGCGCAGGGTCTCTGATCAGTCAGGATGAGTGCCAGCAGGTTAACTGGAATCCGAGCCACGCTCTGCCTGCTCTCAATCGGCTCTTCTCTCCTCCCCTCGCTGGTCCCACCCTTTATTTACTGCCCGCCCAGCCCCGCGGATCCAGACACACTCACACACGCACACACGCTCACGCTCCCTCTCCCTCAACTTTGCGCTGCGTTACTGGAAAGTCGATTGAGTGTTGCTTCCTCCAGACAGATCAAACCTAACCTACTGGCCGCTGCAGAAGCAGCTGCACTGTGCTCTGAGCGGCAGTAAGGTCGCTTGTGCCTGTTAGGGGTTCTGAGATGGCCAACTATGACATATCCCATCACTTACTGGGAAATCGCCTTCGTGGAGGGCGGTATGTCAGCGAATATCAGAGCTCCTGTTTTAACTCTGACATGCTGGAAGACAAGGAGAATAAGCAGGAGCGAGGGAAGAGGGAGGAGGAAGAGAGAAATGGGAAGCCTTCAGTACTCTGGAATTATAGTGGCTCCTTTCCTATTTGGACCCGAGATAATGTCTCTTAAATTGCTTCCATTTACAAGTGCAAAACTGGGGAAGGGACAGTTTCCAGCGCTGATGCTTTTCTTAATTTCTTTTCACTGTCACATCTGAACGCTGGAAATAGGCTATTTTAACAATGTAGGTTTGGAGACTATTTCTCTGTAGAAGGGCAGGGACACTTCCCTGGGGAAATCAGCATTTGATCATGTTGGCTTAATTTCCTTTGAGCTTTGTGGGGAATGTTCTATATAAATGTTTGCTAGTTCTGTATGAACATAGCATGGAGTCCCCCCCCCATGGAGATTTTGGAGAAGTTCTCTACACTGAGTCAGTTTATAAGAGATCATGCACAATCATATGGCCTGCCATTGGAAATAATTAAAAATAAATCTATCTCAAAATTCAAGCATTTATTCACTCTTTTATTCATTCACTCACTCATTTACTCACTCACTCATTCATTCATCAAACACAGACTGAATGTGCTGCCAGACATTACTTTTCTCTGAAGAGTCTATAATGGGAAAAATGTACTATCTGTCCTCTAAGGGAGGTTATAACCTCACAGATGGAAGCTAGTTAGTTCACATCTGAAGTACTGTGAATGGTTCCAGAGTCTTCGGGATGAGAGCTGACAAAATAGACGTATCCACAGATAAGAAAAGGTATTTAGTGATGTGTTTTATGCAGTGAATGATTGAGGGAATCGTGAAGAATTAGAGGCATATGTGAGGTCTTCTTCAGAGAGTGATCCTTAAAAACTCAACAAAAGAGAAATTCATAAGTGATTGGTTAAGTGTTTCTAAAGTCAGAATATATACAAAGACTGTTAAATGGTTTATTTTTAGATCTAAAAATTTGTGTTAAGTGCATTTAGTCATTGATTTTTGCTTGGTACTTTCAGGCCCAATAATTAGGAGACATTGTATGGCTAGCATTTGAAAATTCAAGGTCTAGAATTAAATAACCTTCAGAACAAACCATATTTCTGTCTAGGTTTGACAAGATTCTAGGTTATCAGTTTTGATTCAATTGCTTTCTCTCTGTGTAGCAGGTGCCGGCACCTACCCATATCCTGTTCTCTCCTTCCCCTGACAGGTGAAATCCCGTGCCATTTTAAAGGGTTGAGAGCCCATGAAATGAGTGCGGAAGTGGTGGATGTAGAGGAAGGCAGTGAAAGGGTCTTACAGGGGTTCCCAGGACTCTGTTTTCCTAACAGAGTAGTTCAGACTGCTACATTTCTAGATATCCAAATGGAAGCAGCTTGGATCCCGGTCTCATCTTTTGCAGTGAAGTTGCTCTAAGGAGTCATAGACTATCAGTGATGTATTGATAAATCAGTGAGAACTCAAATGTTTGTTTGCAACAACTAAAATTTTAAAATGTTTGTTGCTGCAGGATAAGCTACTCTGTACTTACCCGTAAACTCTCCAAGGCTCAATATCCTCATTTGTAAAATGAAAGGAACAAAAATAGTGTAATAACACCACTGAAGGATTTTATATATATAATATTCAAGGCCCTTATTACTCAGTATATATCAATACGTATCTCTGCTAATTATAATCTTGCTTAATGAATCCATGCCTATATTTCTGGTTTAAATACGTCCCAGATGGCAGAGACTAAAATATGTTGTCTGTTGGGAAATGAGTCAACAATATTGGTCCACTTAATAACACGTTAATAGTAATTGGTCTGATACTATTCAGGGAAATATTGCTAGTTTTAAATATGTAACCTTGAGGCAATGAGTAAACAGTTCTTTTTAGTTGATAAAGATAGGAAGATTGTATTTCCTAAAGGAGATTTCTTAAAAAATAAATGGCACATTTAAATTACTTTTCAGTATCATCTATAGAATTCTGTACAGCTTAAAGCTGAAATTTATTCCCTTGTTAAAATGCCTCCCTTCATTGCTCTTGTCTACAGATTCATAGTTTTGAGTCACTCATGGGTGATCCTCAGCTGCTGCTAATATTTTTGTGCTTTGTAGAAGTACCGTGTTGTATGCATACATGCATCCAGTTACTTTTGTCCCAAAATGACCATGGTAATCACTCTTGATTCACAATTTTTCATAGTGCTCTCTTAAGAATAAAAATGTTCAAATGAATGCATACTCTCTACTTCCTATTCCCGAAATCTTAAACTTAAATTCATACACTGTGGTTTAATAATATGACAATTGTTAACCAAGCGGCCTTGTGCTTCCTATGAGAACTGGTGTCATTCTTCAGATATTAATCAATTTTAAATTACTTGTTTTCTAGACACTGAGTAGATACAAAGAAAAATAGCTTAAAGTAACCTAAGGAACTCAAATGTTACAACTGTGTTTTCAAAATATGACTATACTTATAGTGTTAACCAGACACTGAAAGCAAGAGGTCTAGGGCCTTTGGAACCTATTGGGAGTAAGCCATTGATTTAGGATTAAAATCCTGATTTCCTGGCTACATCTTTATATGCTTTTGTTAGGTGATGTCATATAATCTTATGATAAATATTATCTTTAAGCCAAGGATCTCTTGCTCAAATCCGGCCTCTAAACTCCAGATTCGTGCAGTCAATTCTAATTACCATTTTTATCTGGCACAGCGTCTCAATATTATTACACTATGAGTACAGCTTTCTCTCAGCTATCAAAATGGGAAACTTATGAGGTCACTCTTGATTTCTCCATTGTTTTTCTCCCCCACATCCAGTTCACTTTTGCACATTACTGATTTAACTCATAAAACTTGGCTTTGATCTATTTCTCTGCAGCTCTACTGTTATTGTGGTAACTTGGGCTTTCCTACTATTAAAACTTTTGACACCTTTGAAGTAGAAATTTTTTACTGTGGAGGCTGTCCTGTGCATTGAAGATGTTTTGCAACTTCTCTGTTCTCTCTCCACTAGATGGCAGTAGTGCCCACTACCAAGGTATGACAGCCAAAAAGTGTCTGTAGACATTGTCAAAGGTCTTGGGAGTACAAAATCAATCACTTTGGGGATCACTGTATTAGGCTCTCTTGGTTACTTTTCTCTCCTTGCTGAGACAAAATACCCAATTCCCAAAACCAAGAAAAATTTATTTAGCTCACAGTTTGTGAATGTTTCAGTCCATACTTGATCGGCTCCAAAACAGGGTGGCACCTGGCAGAGGACCACAGTTCATGGCAATGGAAAACAGCACAAGCAACAAGAGCAAAAATGGATGAGCAGCAGAGAGCAAGCCTCTTTCTCTCCCTTATATTGTATGCAGGCTTCCTGCCTTAGGGAAGGTGTAGCCCTCACACCAATAATCCCAGCATTGGACCATGAATCAATCAAAAACTCTAAAAGCCCACCCCATGACTGCATGGGGCTTTGGGGGCACATCTAGACATAAACCATAACATAGCTCAAGCCACCACGATCTAGATCTGATCTGTTACCATAGACTCTTAACTGTCCCCTCCCCTGGTTTGCCTCTTTCTATTCATCTGTCCTCTGATCTGACTTTGCTCCTCACAATGGTTTCCCTCACTACTGCAAACCATGGATCCCACATGGTCATTGGCAACTCTTCATTGCTTAAGTTATCTTATTGCTTATATTCATTTCAACTCTTCATTTCTTATGTTATCTTCATTGCTTATATTATCTCACATTTGTTCAATTTACCTGAAATTTTGATGTGTAACACTGTGCCTGATGCTCAGGGAGAACTTTACTAGTGATCTTCAAATGACTAAATGGAGGAATTTTTATGGATGGTCTCTCATCAGCCACACAACCTATAACTCATAACTGCTGATTTGTAAGATTGAACTGAATAATGATCTGATATTTAAAATTTCATGCAGGACATCTTTATTGGTCAGTTTAGTATTTAGCATTACCCTCAGCACGTTAATGTAGTATACCATGCCTTGGAAAGCTAGAGTGTAATCCTAGACGTGTTTCTTCAAATATGCGATATGGACTAGTGGTTTTTTTCTTAACAGTCCATTTTTTCAGCACCATGGCTAGCATCATATACATCTTAGCAATTTTACTGTCATTTCCATTTTAACAGAGGTCTGTTTGCCAAAGCACTGTGGAATGCAGTTCTAGGGAGATCTTTCAAAGATAAAAAGAGGGTCTAATTTATTCCTCCCTTTGTCTTCTATTATAACAAACTGAGAGTGTAAAGAAATTTAGTCATGTGAAGATCTGGGCCAAGTTGATGTTCAGTTGCTTCCATACATAACTGGAGCTTGTTGAAAGGTATAGATGAAAAGTCTGTAGACAGGCACTCTTAATATTAGGAGCACTGGCTGACTACTTACTACAGCTTACTGCGTTTAGACAAATATTTAGTCCTTATCTACCTCAACCACAGCATGAAGTACTCAGGTTAACATTCTTCATTTTTCCTTCCAAAGAGGAGAGTCCCCTTTAAGAATCAATATGAACAATGACAGTTTTATAGAAGAAGGGCTCACACCTCTCTTCATAAATAAGGGAAGCTTTTTCTTAAAATAAGGAGCATTTCTTTTGTGT